GCAGATCTCTGAAGTTTTCTCTGTGCTGCTTGCTCCCCCCTCTCTGGTACTCTTTCCTGAGTATTCTTGGCACCTACTGTTCCCAAGCTCTACACTCCGTATCCTTACCTGCGTCTACCAGGTTCCACCTGGGTTTCACCTCCCTATTTACTCTGGAAGATCTCTTAAGATAGTAATTTGGAAAGAGACTCTTAATCTCACAAAACAAATTGAAGGTTGCTGTGGGGAAGGGAGGAGCATGGAGAGGGTGGTTGGGTTATAGACATTGGTGAGGGTTTATGATATGGTGAGTACTGTGAAGTGTGTAAGCCTGACGATTCACAGACCTATACTCCTGGGGCAAATAATATATTATATGTTAATAAAAATAATTAATAAAAAATAGTAATTTGGAAAAAAATAATTTGGAGCAGTTGTTGGGCTTATCTCATTTGTTTTTCATCTTTCAGGGATCACTTTCTTTGCTGATGAACTGTATCTTACAAACCATTGTTTTATATATTTTGTCTATTTCCCCCCCCCCATAGGAAAGTAAATTCAATCCTTGTTATTCTGTCCTGACTAGAAGTAGATGTTGGAGCTGATGTAATCTTCATCTCCTTACCTTTCCTGAGTTCACAGATCTCTGACTCTTTTAAATGCAACATGAAGCAGGCTTATCCATTCTGAACTTGCTTGTCCTCATTTTCTTTTACACATACTAATTATTTTTGCCCTTAGAGTGCTTTTCTGATCTAAAATTATTTAATTAAATCAAGTAGGACATAATTAGCCTTCCATGACATCTGATTTTGAAGGTCTGATTCAGAGTACATTCCATTTGGGAATGAAAAGAAAGAATGGAAGTATGACACCTTTTGCATTTATTTAAAATCTAAACAGTTTAGAGGTTAAAGCCAATATTTTAGCAGAATAAATGCTTAGTAGCAGTTAATGTTTCAGTTATAGAAGTGTCTGATAGAAACACTTTTTCAATTAATCAGTCTCCTTGGCCCTCACTCAAACTGAACATTTGTCCTGCATTTGGCCTTAGTTGTAGTTGTGTTTATACCTTGTCAATTAGATTAACAATTAGATTCATATTTAAGCATATTTAAAACTTAACAGCTAAGATAATTTGAGGAGTTGTTTTTTTCAATATATAATCCTTTTTCTATTTGTGTAGATTGCTTTCTTTTTCCTACTTTATTATTTTTTTTTAAAGATTTTATTTATTTATTTGACAGACAGAGACCACAAGTAGGCAGAGAGGCAGGCAGAGAGGCAGGCAGAGGCAGGAGGAAACAGTCTCCCTGCTGAGCAGAGAGCCCAATATGGGGCTCGATCCCAGGACCCTGGGACCATGACCAGAGCTGAAGGCAGAGGATTTAACCCACTGGGCCACCCAGGCGCCCCTCTTTTTCCTACTTTAAGACAAACCAGAAATTCCATTGTTTCTACTCTGAGGTTTTTAACATAAATGCAGTAGGATCTTTTCTATAAGAAGAAAACTATTATGTTCCAAGGATGCAGTCCTGTTTTGATCTTTTTCACTAGAAAGGTGGGAGTAGAATTTTTTTTGCTCTGTGGCTTTATGAAAGACAAGTAACTGATAAAGGTTGATAGGTTGCCTTTATTTCCCTAGAAGTAACTCTTAGGATAAATACAAAGTTAGCCTTATCTTTTTTTTTTTTTTTTTTACACCCAGAAAAGTTTTTTTTTTTTTTAATCCAGAAAAGTTTCACCATTTTCTTTATTAATAATGAAGTGATGTGACTGACAAAAAAATGAGTTCAGGTGATAATCTCGATAATTCTAACATATATCTTTAAGTAATGTCTTTCTCTCTTTCATGGCCTAAGGTAAAACAGATTTAGTCTCAGTATCTAGCAAACAATCTGCTATTCCCCTTACAGGGTAGTGCAGGATAGCAAGATTGGTCAGCTCAGTAGGGTTTTTTTTTTTTTTTT